GCCTATACATGCGAAAAATACCACTAACTTAGTCCAATGATGATGATGACCGGATGTCCACATCATTATTCAGGACATTGCAATACTCATTACTCAAATTCATTTCCAACGACTTCCTTTGCACTCAAATTAATATCCAACGACTTCCTTTGCACTCAAATTTTGTACCGTTTCTAGGTTTTAGGCTTTAACTGTCTAATGGCCCTTTCTATTAATTTTCTTTATTTTCCTCTTGATTTATTTCCTTAAAATTTCTCATCAATTGAACAAATATTTAATGGCGACCAATAATTGGTGATGAGATAAGAGGAAGTCGATTTTGAAGATAAAAAGATAAATGATTAGAAAAATTCTTCAGTGTGACCGTTGCACTGCTTAAAATACTTTTCTTTTGAGAAAGAAATTAAGTAGTTATTTGTTTCTTTTTATTAGAAGCATGATGTTTTCCATAAACATATATAACAAAAGTATGAAAAGTTTATGTGAAAGGTAATAAATGAAAAGTTTATGTGAAAGGTAATAAAACTAAAACATTACAATAGGTTTTAAAAACTTTACATTTATTCATTTTTATTTTGTAAAAGAGCGATAGTATTTTATTGATAAGATAAACAAAAACAAGTAGAAAGCAACTAAGGGGCCGAATATGGATACAACTTCACTAGTAACCAAATGCAACAACAAGTTGAATTGATCTAGAGACAACACGCACAACCAAAAAAATTATTAAAGTCCCTAAATCAGCAACCAGAAGCACATGTACTCAAACATGCAATATAGATTTGCAGCGTAACTACAGAAACAACAAATCTGTATCAAATATCAAAAGGGAATAAATTATCCTAAACAAAAAAATGAACAAGATCAAATTCCTCAAGACTTCATGAGAATTATTAGACTAAAACAAACTAAACAAAAAGACTACCGCTCCACAAAAAATGAAAGGGAATGGACTAGGAAGGGTAACCGCCGCCCACTTTGGGCATTGAGGGCTAGGGAATATATATATATATATATATATATTTTAATAAATGGTTCTCTCAAAAAGCAGCAATCACATCCAAAATAAATTTGATAAAAAAAGACTACATTTACTAGAGGACCACTGCATAAGATAAAAAATAGTAAAAGATGACAGTTGAAGTTATTCCCTCCATGCAAATGGGGACAAAGGAAATTGTTGATGCCAAAAAGTGGTTCTCTGACTTTGAGGGTCAACTTAGTAATTTTATGCCTTCGGTATCCTTAAGGCCTCGGTAGTCAACGTTATCTGCAATATGAGCAAACGCACGGTAAGACCTAGGGCACCGATGTGGTACCGGCCGAAGGCTCTCCGATGCTTAAGTAAGTTCGGGAATAGAAAGTTTAACTGACAGATCAATAGACTTGTATGCCGTAGGTTCTGATTACCTATACTTTGGGATAGTTGGCCTCCTTTTATAGGCCTTGGGAGGTGTGCATTTTGTTGATAATTTCGATGTGGGACTGTGGACGTTGCTTGGGAGCGTGCCACGTGTCCCAGGAGAGGGCGTTGGAGAGATCGGTAGGTAGAGTGCCGAGGGCACCCCTGACCAAGCCCACTTTCCTCCACGTGTCTTGCTCTTATTAGCTGTTTGTTTTGGGTGTAAACAGAAATGATGATATATTTTTGTACGATCACGACATTATTGACTCAGTTGGTATATTCATCAAAGATAATCATTTACTCATATAAGTATGTCTCTCTGTTGGATTTAAATGGACTACAAGATTTAATTTTTATTTAATTTTATTTTATTTATAAATACTATTGTCCTGTTCAAATTAATTTATTTTCTTTATTTGATAAACAAACTATCTTTTTTGCGTGGAAAATAATAAATAAACTCTCTTTCAACCACAAAATTAACAAGCAATACATACGTACCTGACAATTACTGGTGAGATCCAACATCCTTTCATTCCTTAAAATTAATTATTTTTTCAAGTGTGTTTTCACGCAAGAGAAGGAATATAATCGAATAGAAAAACAGGCATCATTTTCCATTCTCCCGTTTAATAAGATGTTTTATGATTAACACCAATTAATCAAAAAACTATATCGTAAACTTTACTTTAATGTTCCTTTATAAGTTGAGGGATTGTGATATATATTCTCTTGTAAAAATATAAAGAAGAAAATTTCAATCGCTTCAAAGAATGTAAGATAAACGTTTTAGAGAGCATCTGTAATCATGTTCTCTGTTTTTTAGTTACAATTTAGCTAAAAATTCACAAAAGTTGTTTTAAGAGCTCTATATAAAATTTGAATTTCACCAATTATACTTCCTAGTTTAGGGAGTCATAAATAATATAATTATTTTTTAATTTAATATAAATGGTCCATCTCTCTCTCTCTCTCTCTCTCTCTCTCTCTCTCTCTCTCTCTCTCTCTCTCTCTCTCTCTCTCTCTCTCTCTCTCTCTCTCTCTCTCTCTCTCTCTCTCTCTCTCTCTCTCTCTCTATATATATTAATTAGCATTAATTAAAAGGTTAAAATATTCATAAAATAAAGCAGTATAAAATTATAGAGAGCCACTAGGAATCCTTTCTCTCTCTCTCTCTCCTCAAATTTAGGAGCTCCTAGAAGTCTCCTTATTTTAGGAGGTGGATGGGGAGCATAGTTAGAGTTGTATTTTTCCAATTCCTACCTAAAATTTATTTAAGGAGGTGATTTAGGTAGCTAATTAATTGTGAATGCTCTAATAGGTTTTTTTTTTTTTTTTTTTTTTGAAGAAGATTTCATTCAGAAACCATAAAAGACATACAAAGACCGACACGATTACAGGGGCCTCGTTAAAACCTTATTAGGAAAATCATGTGGGACAAACCCCAGGGTAGGAAAAAGTGTCATACATGCCATGGACTAACAGGAAAGTCCAACCTAGGCCCCATAGGATCGTTACAAAAACCTGAAAAAAGAAACAAAAATACTAAAACATCAACACAGTAGACCCATAGTCCTTTGAATAGCACAAGAACTACATAGCACAACAAGGGTCTGAGACACAAGAGAGCACATGAAGGAAGAACACAGAGACGATAGTAAAGAGGAACCCCAGAGGAGCACACCAACTCAACTTATAGCCTGATAAAGAAAACCTCATATGGCCAAACATAGTTCTTCGGAAGACGCAGAGATGAGAAAATCTACAAAGGTTCAACACAACAAAAGGAGAAACAAAACGACAAACAAAACAAGAGATCGAATAACGAAACCCCTTAGAAGGCACACCGCTACACCACCACATCCCAACAACTACCACTAGCGTCGCTGCTACCATCGTCGTCAAAACAGAGATAAAACATCAGCCACCAGGTATCACAACTCTCTTGAAGAGAGACACAATCTAGCGTCACTACTGTTGCCACCGCGGAGACAAAGACAACACCAGCCACCTATAGCACTACAAAAACAAAGACACAAACAAACCTAGATCTAGACCTGGCAATATTGTGCACGACCCGTTAACATGACAAGAATTGGCAAAAAAAATTCAATAGTCGGGTCCGAGTTATCCTATTGTGTTGAGCTAATGGGTCGTTATATATGAACCCACCCGTTAAGCAGAGGCAATTTTGTAATTTTCTATTCCAAAACCTCAACCTCTTCTTCTTCTTCTTGAGATCTCACACCACCCGTTAAGCAGAGGCAATTTTGTAATTTTCTATTCCAAAACCTCAACCTCTTCTTCTTCTTCTTGCGATCTCACATATCTCTCGCTCTCTCTCCCAAAACTTGTCAAGAATCAAATACCCATCCATCAGCCACAACACCAACCTTGTCGGCAAATCTAATCAGAGCAACACCCTCGTCGCCTAACCCAGTCACATCACCACCTCGTCACCAATCCAGATCTGAAAACCCCGTCATACTCTTTTTCTTTTTATCTTTTTAATTGAAAATTTTAAAATAAATTTGCAGCTTGTGATTCAAATATGAAACTTTGAAATTAGGATGAATGTTAGTCATGCTTATGATAAGTTTTGGGGAGAGAGAGAAGGTGTGGTTGGTGAAGAAGGCTGGGATGGGGGCAGAGGGGCTGAGTTTGAGGGTGGGGTTGGTGATGGCGGTGGTCGAGATTAATGGTGTGGGTTGGGCTTTTTTTATTAATTGAGTCGCCTTATCTTCTTCTTCTTGATTGATTGAGTAGTTAGGCTTGATTGATTTGTTAAAAGCTGAAATTAACTTAAACGTAAAGGATGCTTGAACAGAATATTTCGCAGTGTACAGATACTGCAGTTTTCCTCTTTTATATATATATATATGAAAAACAAAGCTAACAAAATAACAATCTTCACAATAACCACTAACACAACAAGTGCAGATTTTGTGGAGTTCAACTACCTTAAGCAACGGAAGCAAATTTGAACGTGGTAAACAGACTAAACCACAACTTCTACATTCTAGGACTCCAGCTTGACTTGGTCTCTTCATGGCCATGTCAGCTTTATTTAATTAAAAACTAATTAAACCTAACAACTTTTAACATGATTGAGTAATTAAGATTGGGGGAGGCGGAGAGAAAGGGGAGAAGAGGTTATGTACATGATTGAGTAATTTTTTAATAATTGAATGCAAATTAAATTGTGGGACTCGTGACTTTAAGTACATGACTTTTACGAATTGGTATGTATCCATTGGGAATAGTCATGTTCTTAACCGAGGAAAAATAATTGTATGTAAAATAATAATACTTTATGTGATAAGTTGCATTGTTTCATACAAATTGAAACATTGCACTTCTTGGATTAACTTGCATTGTTTCATAGAAATTGAAACATTGCACTTTTTGGCTTAAGTTGCGTTGTTTCATAAGAAATGAAACATTGCACTTCTTGGCTTATGGTTGCAACATGAAAAGACACATTTGTTGATATTTTTCAGTCACATCTTTTCTGAACAGAAGCCTTGTTGCCTATAAATAGAGAAGATCCTACAACATTTCATTCATCCAATTGTCATCCAACAATAATAGTTTTTAGAGCATTCATAGCATTATATTTTTAGAAATATAGTGATTTAGTAAGAGAGCATTCATACACAAGTTTGAGTTCTCTTTTCTTGGGGATTGTAGTGCTACTTCAACAAGAAGTCGATTGTTGTATCCTGGGAGACGTTTGCCAAACAAATCCTAAAAGCACTTGTGAGGAGGCAATTTCGTCTTAAGGAGATAGAACCAAGTTCTAGACTCGATCATCTGTAAAGTATTCTTAACATTTACCTTGTCGTTATTTTCTTGTATTTATTTCGAATTTATATTGAAGTTTTATTTTCGAAATTCTGTAAATATAGCAATTATCTCTTTATTTTTACCAACACATGCCACATGTCCACCTTCGTCAATCCGCCTTCACTGCCCGCCGCTGTCGCAGGAACTTTTGCTCCTCCTGCTCCTGCTCCAGCTCCAGCAGCCGCTGCAACTCCTGCAGCTGCTCCTGCTGCTCCTGCAGCCGCTGCAGCTCCTGCCGCCGCCGCTGCTTCTGCTGCTCATACTGCTCATACTGCTCATGCTGCTCCTGCAGCCACAGCTCCAGCAGCTGCTGCTGCTGCTGCGGCTGCCGTCGCTGCTCCTGCAGCCACTGCTGCTCTATGTTTCCCTCAACCTAAAAAGGTAAGAAATTTAGTGTGCATGAGGAGACTCAAACCTTGACCCTCAAAGGAGGAAAGCCTTGTTCACAAACCACTTCACCAACCTTGTTTTTGTAGTATTTTGGCCTAATTCAAAACAAAATTTCATTCATAGATATTAAAACCCAAACAGAAAATACTCTGTCTCAAATCCTAATTAGTCGTTATGTCTAATACCTAATTTTCTTTATTGTATTCAATCCCAATGTGGCCTTCCCAAAGTGAGCTCCAAATTGACATTCTGTGATACATATGGGACTTCATCATTTTCATCACGTCGGCCTTCATATGGGACTTCATAACTTAAGCCTTTTGGATACATCATGTCCTCCCGAAACAAAAGATATATATATATATATATATACGATGAATAAATAAAAGGATAAATTTCACTTAACTATCTAGAGAAAGATGGAAATATAATTTCCTTTATTTTGTTCAGTTATTCCCATGATATATATACAAATGACTACTTTTAAATTAATATTTCAAGGTTATATATATATGTATGTATGTATGTATGTTTTGGAAATAATTTACTTTAAATCGTAATTAAATTGGTACCTCTACCTCCTGATCATAAAGAAATGGTATATCTGCCGTGATTGCATGCCGTGAAGTTTCTGCCGTGCTACAAACCAACAGATTCAGAAAATATTTTCTATCAGTGGAATGGAAGCCATGCATACAGATGAAAAAGCAAACAGAGAAAAGAAAGCAATCGTTTACGTAGAGATAGAGAGCAAGCTTAATTAGCCACTCTCTCATCTCCTTTCAAAACTAAATAAATAAGACTAAAAAGCTGCAAAAAGATTTAATATGCAAATTAATTAAGTAGCAGATGGGCAATTTAATTCGTGTTTACCTTGAAGAATTTTCCCACGAGTCCTTGTTATCAGTGGTATTCACGTTCATTCGGTTATTACATAGTTTTGAACCACCTAAACACATAAGAAATATGGCAGGCAAAAGGGATGCTTTGAAAGGAGTATTAGCATGCCGAAGGTAGTAAACATACTGAACTATAGAGCAAATGCACTGTGCGATGCCAGCAACTAGTCCATAAATGTCAGGAAGAGTACCAAAAGGGGTATGTCGAGGAGGTGGTGGATGATAAAACCACCAGAGCATTCCCCATCTCTTCAACACAACTCTTGCCTTTTTACCTCTGTAAATTAGCTCCCATATGGAAATGAGCACAGCTGCAATAGCCAACAGCATACCAAATAGTGCATAGTGGGGTCTTCTTGGGGAGGAAGCCTGATCACAAGCAGCTGACAAGATCTCTAGGCCAAGGTTAGTAGCTAAAAATATCCACTCTGTTGATTCTGAAGCAGCCCTCATCCCTGAAACCAGTTGTTGCTCTCTCAATTTCCACAGCTAATAAGCAAGTGCTTTTCTTTGTTACATAAATACCTCTGTTTGGTTACCGAGAAAACGGAGTAATTTACTTAGAATAAGAAATGAACTTTCCAAGACGGATCTTCTGCTTTCTTTCTTTAATTATCTGATTTCCATCCCGCCCAAACTGAAAACAATGAGAAGAAGATGCTGTAGTGTTATGGGATTAGTGGAGAAGAGGTTTTAGTAAAGGCAATAATGGAAAGGAGAGAGCTTCTTGTAAAATCGTAGTGTGATGGAAAAGCTCTTCCTAGGTTGCCCACACGGTTTATCTTTTACTTTCAGGTCCCTAGCTAATGATATCTAAAGGAATTGTAATTTTCATTTACTTTATGATGATATCTTCCACACGGTTTGTACAAGCTTTATATTAAAATACAACGATGAGCTGTCAAATATAGCTGTATAAGATTAGTTACAGAGAGTTAACTAAGATTAACTAACAAACGATTTCGTGTAACAAACTAATTATTTACTGCTTTTATTATCATCTTTGTCTATGACTACCATTTTCAAAACAAAACAAAAAGGATCTGTGACCCATCAAGGAAGTTTCCTAAAATGGAACATAAAGTTTACATGATGCATATATGGTTTGGTTGCACCTGAGAAATATTTGAAATTTGAACACAAGAGTCCTAGGTAAGGGAGAGAAAAGCCTTGACCCATCAAGGAAAGCTTGAGCACATTGCAAACAATGCTGTTATAAATTGGTAAATTAAATTAAATCACAATGCTAACTTAAATTTACACAAGAATAAATTCATTACTAGAACAAGACAGACATACCTGAAAAAGAATCAAAGAACGTATGGCAAAAGTAATGGTGGAGACTTGAAGGAAAACCGCTAGGTCCCCTCCCTTTCCACATGTACAGAAGAAAGCAAAGATTGTAGTCCCATATGAAAATTTTGAGAGCTGCAATTCATCTTTGTGGAGCCCAATTTAGAGAGACACAGTAGCAGAAGAAGAGAGTGTTTTGACCAACTGGTTTCAATTTGTGGTGCCGCCATGGCTGACCGGCGTTTCGTACCATTTTGGCATTGATTATTTAGGCGAAAATCACTTTCTTTGAAGAGATGTGTGTGTCAGTGTGTTTGGAAAAAGAGGAGAACGCGATTACTTGAGAAATTCGGGGAAAACATGAGCGGAGGTGATTTTTGTTTCCACTTTCTTGGGAATCAGGTTGGAACAGTTAGGATATTAATGAATTTTTGCAAACTACCCAACATAGCCTTACTTCTTTTTACAATTTCCACAAAATGCCCTCTTTTCTATTTTCTGTTCCACCTGCTGTGATTCTTTCATTTCTAATCACCGTCCAATAACTTGCCAATGCTACCTATAATTGTTTCAGACAAAAAATAAAAGGTCCAATATTTGTTCTATTAAAAATTATGGAAATTTTCTTACACTATTAAAATTATAGTAGTGTAGAATTTTAGTGCAGTCAAAATAGTTTTCCACACATTATTTAAGCCCACTCTGTGCGACCCTAAATCTCACATCTCTCCCTCTCCTCTCTTCCCCAGCCACCTTCACTTTTCACCCTCCACTTCTTACATCTACCCTCTCCTCATCCCCTCTCTGTTGTGATGCCGTCCATCCATGGCCAGCGGCTTCGTCTGGTCGTCAGTTCTCCACCTTCACCGTCTGCTCCTCGGTTCCGCGTCCGCCGCTCCCGTTGTTCTTCCTCGGTGGTGTGTGGTGGTCCGTGGCTGCGATTAAAGTGCATACTGCACTTGACTCTTGGATTATGGGAGCGCTTCCGCGCGGGTGGCCTGCTCACCCCCATCTTCCGTTGGCCTCTTTGATACCCCCTGGTATCGGTTACTTCTCCTTGGTGGTGGTGGATCTGCTCTGGTGGTGCTGTTGGAATGCTCTGTGCGGCTGCTCATGTGTTCTAGATCTAGGGTTTCTTTGTTTAATAGTTTATGGGCTTATGTTATTTATTTGGTTTTGTATATTTGGGCCTTTATTTGTTGGTGTTTGGCTGCCTTTTGAATTGAGTTTTCTCAATTTGTAATGTTTCCCACTATTAATGAATATAGCTCCTTGACCAAAAAAAAAACCCAACATAGCCTTACTTCTTTTTACAATTTCCACAAAATGCCCTCTTTTCTATTTTCTGTTCCACCTGCTGTGATTCTTTCATTTCTAATCGCCGTCCAATAACTTGCCAATGCTACCTATAATTGTTTCAGACAAAAAATAAAAGGTCCAATATTTGTTCTATTAAAAATTATGGAAATTTTCTTACACTATTAAAATTATAGTAGTGTAGAATTTTAGTGCAGTCAAAATAGTTTTCCACACATTATTTATTTTATGATTAAAATAATTTTTAGGGTGTGATGGTTAAAAATTAGATTTAACACAAGAATTACATAAGTGAAAGTAAAATTGATTTTTTATTTTTTATAACCAAATACTTGAATAGAAAAGTCATTTCAACATAATATCATTTTTCGTCATTATACACAACTCACAGCACTTTTACACAAACATTTACCAAACACTGAAAAATTGATTATTGTACTAAAATCACTTTTAACAAAACATTACCAAATGCCAAACTGCTTTCTATAACAACTGATTTCTATCACAGCAAATCTGACAGTGATTATTTTCACAGCACAACAATGCCAAACTAGCCTCGTCTTCTTAAATTTTTTAAGTTAACGGTTTTTTTGAATTTTATGGGTGCACTGAATATATCAATGGGTGTGGGTATAATTTTCTGTTCTCCACCTTTGCCAACCTTCTCTGTCCCGTAGTGCCATTCACTCTCCTAGTTCTTCTCATTTTCAAATTTCAATTATGCTTCTTATAAGCCTTAGAGCTTCACTGACCCCAGGTAATCGTCTAATCTTCTTTTAGTTGCAGATTTTTTAAATCAACATTTTATTTCTCAGGTTTAATTTTGACTGCAAGATTTGGCATGGGTTTAGGCATGTGTCCAAATGGCTTGAAACATTTTATTATGGCTTGAACCTATTTGAATGACCTTGATAATTCTTGGATTGGTTTCCCAACATATTGTAATTTGCTTAGCATGTGGCTTGGGTTAGTGAGTCTGCTTGGCATGATGCAATAGCTCGTAAGTTTTCCTATTGCACAAGATGGGCTTGAATAAGGGAGGTTGGATAGGAAGGTTGAATAAAAGTGTTTTGTGTTTTTCGGCGGTTGAAGTTTGATTCTTGGCTTCATTTCAGGTTGCTAGTTCAGCAAAGGACATAGGGAATTTGGTTTTTTATTGGTTTGTACTTTGGAAATAAAGAAGACCCACAACAAGATGAGGAAAATAGCACGTTGTTAGTGCTTGAAGCATGGTTTGTTTGATTTGTCAAGTCTCTTTTATGCAGGGCATGATACTTGTCTTTTTGTAGCTGCATGGATTACTTGTACTGATGCAGAGAGTTAAGTAGATAGGGTTCGCAATGAGCTCGTGGCATGTTAGCTTGTAGCTTGTTGCTTGGTTTTCCTTCTTTTCTCAAATTTTGCTTCACTTTGCATGAAATAACTTGACTAGCATGTCTATTGTAGCTTGATGCCTGAGGCTTCACAATGCTTGGATGAAGTTAGCATGAAATTTGCAGAGGCCTAAAGTAAACCAAAAAATATTCAGCAACCTCCAGCGGCATGGTATGAAGTTGTATTCTCCTTTCATGTCTTGAGAGCTATTGAAATTGCTTCTTGCTTTGCCATGACTTGGGTTCCATGTCATGTGGCATGCTTTACTGGTATGGCACGTTCTTGATATGGCAGTGACAAACATGGGCATCTTATGGTCGTCAAATGAGTGTCTATGGCGCTGGAAGAAGTTATGCACACTCCTGCTGGTGTTTTTTTTTTTTTTTGCCTGCTCAACGACTCTAATTCGTGTAAGGGCTTGGATGCTTGTTTTCTTCTTAATTGCATAGTTGGATACCTTCACAATTGAAGCTTCAATTTCCTCTTTATTAGGTGAGCCCCAGTGGGTGGATATTGCTGGTGTACAGAGTCCCCCCACAAAAACTTTTATTGCAGACCCTCCTTAAGCTCTTTTGTAGTGAAAGCATGCCAACTTGGATAGTAATGCTTTGATGATGAGGCTTAGCAAGTGATGGAGGCATTAAAGCCAGATTTAGTAATATATCCTTCTAAAATTGCTTGCATAACAACTTGGGTGCTAGCTATAGTTGTTGGGGAGTAACAGTTACAATAGCATGGGTTGTACCCTTTACAGCAGCTCGAATATTGTCTCTGGCTGCTATTACGAGTATGTTTTGGGGACAAAAGCTTGAGTTTGGTTGTGGAAACCAGTATAATGACTCAGAAAATTGATTCCTTTCAAAATGGCTAGGTATGCAGATTATTGTTTGATGGTTTGCTTGGGCCAATGCAAATAAAAGAGAAAATCTGTTTGCTTGGCATGGATTTGATGGGTTAGGATGAAGCCCCCTTGTGGCTTGCACTTGGCAAGAACCCCCAGGTCATCATCAGAAAGTTTTATGCTTGCTTCAAGAAGTAAGAGGCAATTAAAAGAGAAGCCCCCTTGTTCATTGCATCCTATAGTGTTTCACTAATTGCCTCAGTCTCTCCCTGTGCTTGACCCTCATCAAAGCTTGAGCATGAGCATCTACAAAGTCTTCCAGCGACAAGGCATGGCTGGATTGCATATTGATATCTCTGCATACAAATTTTTTGGAAAACATAGGTTGTACTGATCTTTGGTGTGTACCAATTTGTTTTGCTGGGATTTTATTTCTTTTGGATAGTCTAAAGCTCATGTTGTTGGAACCTTGAAACGTGGTAGGGTTATGCATGAACTGTCAGGATTTGGAATGTATTGAGATAATAAGTTTCAGTTTGTTTTGTACACTTTGCTTGGATGGAAATGATGAAAATGAGTGAACTGTTGTAACTTGGAATGCATTGAGATAATGAGTTTCAGTGTTTTGCACACTTTGCTTGGTTGGAAATAATGAAATGCATGAATTGCTTGAGATTTTAATAGGTTGGATTGTGGTAGGTGCAAGGTACATCCTGCCAAAATTTTGGCAGAATCTTTAAAGAAAGCCCTGATGCATTGCTTTAATGCTTTTGCAAGACCTCAGTTATTTAATCATCATTCCTCCATGAGCAGTGAGAGGAGTCGGAAAGAGAAAGAAGATGCCTTTTATTTTT